CCGGCGTATTTTTCATTATGATTCTACTGTGATAGTCGGACATGACAACCTGTGCAGCCCATGTATTGATTCCATCCGATAGCTGCTATAATACAAACAACATGAAAACATCTGCCTCTCTCCACAAAGATCAATAACAGCGAACGGATGGTCAAAGTAAGGCACAAATAAACAGAATCACACTAAGCCTGGTTAGTGTTGCCTGACTTTATAAAGTGTCTTGGTTGCGTTCTAGTCACTTCGCTCAGCGCTACTGCTTGTTACAACTTTAATTTGCCCCTACTCGCCATTAACTGTTATTGCTCAGGTTAATCTCGCCCCCCTCCGACGTAAGCGGGAAGTATTGGTTCTTGGTTCTTGCCGGGCAGCCGATTGGGGCCAGCTAAGAACCGGTTTTCGGTGCTTAGAGTCGGCTCCGCTGCGGTGGAAACAGGAAGAACCAGAGCTTAATCAGGCTCTAGCCCAGAACCGGCCCTGGAACCAGTTTGATGGTAAAGGCGCATTCACACCCCCAGACTCCGCAAACCGTGTAGAGCAGTCACCCATTGTTGTTGTAGGCGGCGTTGGGGAGAAAATCAGCGACATACACACTGATGTCATCACGCAGCACCAATCGGGCTCTGAGTGGTGGAAACACAAGTGGTGCTACAGAGAAGGACCAGTTAAGCACCAGAAAAGCACAAGAACGGATCTTGAACCGGAACCGGTTTGGTGGAAAAGGGGATTGGCCGAAGACACTCGCCTCTTATAAAATGTTTATGTGTGAATCTAGCGGTGTCAGGGGAGTCTCAAAAATTCACACACAAATGCAGAGAGATTCACACACAGACAACACTCAAATATGTTTTTGATTTAACTATTTGTGTGTGGATCAGAAATATATTTGTTAAACTTTTTTACATTTATAAAATGATACGTTTTTGTGTGTGCATTGAAAAATATGATGGAGGCATGTATATATAAATTCCTAGTTACACTTGTGTATCCTTCTGTGTGCATTTATTTATTTTTGGGACTGATCTGACCATGATGTTTGACTGATATGTTTCCTGTGTTTACCCAGCACTGTGATTAAATACCAAATATCTTATTTTCTGCAATATTCCACATTTCAACAGAAATATTCCAGTGTTTTTATCCAGGGAGCGCTGCTACGTATCATCTGAATACATCATCACTGCACCAGAATATGCTGCTTACTCTTTTATGATATTATTTATCTTAATGTTAAAAATAAATATTGTAAAGAAGGAAGTGACTACACTGTGTGCAGAATTATTAGGCAAGTGAGTATTTTGACCACATCATCATTTGTATGCATATTTTCCAACTCCAAGCTGTATGAACTTGAATGCGTATTGGAGTTTAGCATATTAGTTGATGTGTATTTGTGTAATGAGGGAGGGTGTGGCCTAAGGAGATCAACACGCAGGCATCCTCAAAGTCCGGACTCCGGTTCGGATCCGGACCGAACCACAACTGTCTCTGGACTCTGAGCAAATTATACTTTTCATATGTATTATCTGTATTATCTGTGTTATCTGCGAGACATCGCCACAACGCAACGAGTCAAAATGATCCGCTATGTCCATAGACTGCAAACAATGCTTTGCATGTCCGACTGTTCCACTGTCTGTGTGTGTCTGTCAACGCATTGGTCCAATCACATTCAGCATCCCGTCAGCGTTTTTTCCCAACAATCTGCGAATCAGAGACACAGTAGGGCGGGTCATCGTGAAATGCGGGTGGGAAAAATGTGTGTCTCGTCTCTTTCAACCTGTCTGAGTCAGAGCGAGAGTTTTAAAAAAAAAGAATTCAGAGCGAGAGTTAACAGCTCATCTAGTTCCATCTGTACTGTAGCTAGTAGCCTAATTTCACCTACCGGGGTGGCAACTGACACTAAAAATAGGCCTTGCCACCCCAGTTGGCAGCTTTGTTTTGAAAGAAAAGTTGTGGCTCATCGGACATTTATGAGAGAAAGTCTCTAATGTCCGAGTGCAAGTGAATGCAGCACAAGAGGCACGTCATGTAACCCCTCCCCCGGTCCTGGTGCGAGCTTGGACATATGATTGGCGGCGATTTCATTTGAACAGGACGGCGCAAAACGAGAAGCATTCGGACCCAAGCACTGAAGGAATGAGGTATTTGCGGTCTGACAGAGAAGAGACTGTCAGTTTGGCTGTACTCAGCATTGAATCAAAACGCACTAAAGCTGTTGATCTTAATACGTTTGTGAGGCATTTTGCTGAACAAAATGGTAATCGCCGCATTCAGCTGTAATAGACATGTCAACTTGATGCTCTGCTCACGGATGAGCATACAAAACTATTAAGATGATGACCTTACGTGTGTAAATATATTGTTTTCTTTGAGGGGGTCTGCCCCCCAAAAAACAGTTTTAAGTCCTGAGAAAGTCAAATAAGACGTGTGTAAAACTACACTGCCCAGCCAAAAAAAAGTAACCACTTTGATTGAACTAGGCCAGCAGGTAAGGACTTTCCACTGGATAATAACTGAGTATAAAATAATGCATGACTGAAGTGATGGAGACCATGTTTGAATGCAAACAAAAAGAGGAAATAACAGGTCAAATCAAGCAAATCCCCCTCTCAGATTCCACAGCAACCAGAAGAACATAAATACTGGCTGGTGATTTGATTAATCAGCTTTGTGATGGAATAAAAAATGCACAGTGCATTTCCTTAGCTGTGGGTGAGTCCACTGACACCACTGACAATGCTCAGTTGCTGGTGTTTGTGAGTTTTTATGATGAGGCAAAGGGGGAGTTTGTTGAAGATGTGTTGGGCCTGACAAACCTCAGTGGACACACAAGGGGGCAAGACATTTATAAAGCAATAATGGGAATGCTGAATGAAAGAGGGTGCAGCTGCCTTTATTCATAACTGTGCAGCTCTTACACTGCGACTCTGAGGGGTCAAGCACAGACACAACAACAATGAAAACTGCTGCATACACATTATTTTTGTTTTTGCAACCTCGTGTTAAGAATCTTGTTGCAATTGTTTAAAAGTTTGAATGACCGTAATAAACGGACCTTTGTCTTATTGAAACATTTATTTTGGACCTTTAATATTTGTATTTGAGTACCCCTGCTCTATATCAAGGTGTGCAGAATTATTCGGCAACTTCTTTTCCTCAGGCAAAATGGGCCAACAAAGAGATTTAACTGACTTTTTAAAAGTCTTTCAGAGGGATGCAGCTCTTGAAATTACTAAAATGTTGGGGCGTGATCACAGAACCATCAAACCTTTTGTTGCAAATAGTCAACAGGGTCACAACGAACGTGTTGAGACAAAAAGACGCAAATGAACTGCCAAAGATCTGAGAAGAATTAAACGTGAAGCCATTATCCTCCAGTGCTGTCATATTCCAGAACTGTGACCTACCTGGAGGCCCAGAAGTCTCAGGTGTTCAGAGACATGGCCAAGGGAGGAAGGCTGAAACCACCACGGAACAAGACACGTGAGTTAAAACGTCAAGACTGGGCCAAGAAATATCTGAAGGTTTTATGGACTGATGAGATGAGGGTGACTCTTGACGGACCAGATGGATGGGCTGGATCAGTACCAGGCCCAGAGCTCCACTTCAACTCAGACACCAGGGAGGTGGAGGTGGGTTCTGGTATGGGCTGGTATTATTAAGGAGGAGCTAGTTGGAAGTGTTTGGGTTGAAGATGGACTCAAAATCAACTCCCAAACCTGCTGCCAGTTTTTAGAAGACACTTTCTTCCATCATGGGTACAGGAAACAGTCTGCATCTTTCAAGAAGACCATGATTTTCTGAAGGACAATGCTCCATCGCATGCTTCAAAGTACTCCACTGTTACCCCGTTCACACCAACGCGGTTCCAGGGCCGGTTCGGAGCTGGAGCTTGAAAAGCACTATTTTTTCCTGTTCACACCACTGCGGAGCCGCCTCTAAGCTCCGGAATCCGGTTTGTTTCAAGCACCAAAAAGTTGTCGGTCTAGAAAGCAAGCACCGCATACGTCACGCTTACGTCGGAGGCGGGGTCATCAGTTTTAATGTTTTAAATCAGACCTAAACCCTTCCTCACCTGACCTAAACCCTTCCTCTCCTTACCTTAACCCTTCCTCTCCTGACCTTAACCCTTCCTCACCTGACCTAAACCTTTCCTCACCTGACCTAAACCCTTCCTCACCTGACCTTAACCCTTCCTCTCCTGACCTAAACCCTTCCTCACCTGACCTAACCCCTTCCTCACCTGACCTAAACCCTTCATCACCTGAACTCTCACCTGACCTAAACCCTTCCTCTCCTGACCTTAACCCTTCCTCACCTGACCAAACCCTTACTCACCTGACCTAAACCCTCTCCTGACCTAAACCCTTCCTCACCTGACCTAAACCCTACAGAGAACTTGTGGGCTCTTCTTAAAGGGAGATTTACGGTGAAGGAAACGACTCTCTGAACAGAGTCTGGGAGGCTGTGGTTGCTGCTGTAAAAAAGGTGATCGTCAACAGATCCAGAAACTGACAGACTCCATGAATAGAAGGCTTGTGACTGTTATTGAAAAGAAGGGTGGCTATATTGGTCACTGATTGTTTTTTTAATGACAGAAAAGTAGAACAGTTGTTTGTTTACTGTTCTCACTTTAACAGAGAAACTAAATATGTGAGATGGGAACATCTTAGTTGTTCCTTTAGTTGCATAATAATTCTGCACACTAATAGTTGCCCAATAATTATGCACACACAGATATTGTCCTAAGAAATCCAAAACCTCACTTTTACTTTCCTATATATTCAGGTTTGAGGTTTATTATCATTTTGGATTGACCGAGAGCAGTGTAGTTGTTCAATAATAAAATGAATCCTCAAAAATGCAACCACACAGTGGAGTGTATCCTGCTTGTCTTATTAAACAGGCTTGCTTATATTAGAGTGCTTGCTTTCAGTAGCACCAACCCATCTCAGAACTTCTTCTGAAAATATAATGATGTGTGCGAGTGGCTCTCTTACCAGATGCTCTATGCGGTCATACAGGAGGAACTGTGAAAAGTGGGTAGGGAGCTGCTGCACTGTGAAGCTGCAGCGTCCGTCCTGCAGGGCCACCAGCTGGGTCAGGCAGCGGCTGAAGTGGTTGTAGGCATCACAGGACACGTCCATGTTTCTCAGAGTGAAGTTCATCCTTGTGAGACATCCAGGCAAAACATTATTATTAATTACTGCTTGAGCTTGTAACTTGGTCCCTGGTTTCCCTCTAGGGGTTCTGGATATCCTGTTACCATATACAATAGGTGTGTAATACAGTGCAGTGAGTGGAGTTATGCTTAGACCTGCAGATGAAGTTAAACTTTAAAACATTTATCATAACCACAAACTGTAAGTTATTACTCAGAGTAAAGTCCAATACCTGTAAGGCTAATTTATGCTCTATAAAAACGTGGTTGGAAACTACACGTCATACGTTCTAGGATCAAACAGAGACCTCGGGTACAGCTGCTGTGCGGAATAAAGCACACAGCTTCCCCCCGGTCTGAAACTGCACATTCAAATGTATCTGTTTTTTTTTTTTGTTCCTGTTGATAAAAGTGAGTATCAATTAAATTAAATGGATCTAGAAATCCACAGGCAGTTGTAGACAACGTACTCAACATGCAGAACATCAGTTTTGATGTTCCAAAGCTATGTCTAGCACATCCATGCTCTGGAGACTCTGCTCACCTTTTCTCTATGGAGATGAAGACGGAGCAGCTGTGAGAGAAGCTGCTGCAGAGCCGGTACAGGGTCCGGAACAGACCGTCTGTCAGTTCATCGTCATAGATAACTGATACAAGAACACATCATTAATAATCATTTATTTAATTCTCATTTAAATAATAATGCTTTGAAATTACATCTTAGAGTAAATAAAAAGTGCACAAAGAAAATGGTAGACCAATGATCAGGCCAATATATAAAGTGAATATGTTACATCAAAAGTGTCTTTGAGCACTGCTGAAAGCACTTCATAAATGCCATGCATTATTGTTATTATCATTAGCTACAGCAGCCTGTGACTCATGAGCACATGGCTCCACTGTTACAGTGCTGATAGAAGCCTTTTGTTATTACTTACTAATCATTCAGTAAGGTGACCCCGGACAATTGTGTGTTTCAACTGCAGCACATACATGTGGAAAATGCTCAAAGGCAGGATCAAGCATCACTCCTGCTTTACACATCACTTCCTGTCAAGGCTATAGAATGATTGGAAGACGTCTTAAATAAATCAAGTGCTTCTTAACTGTTGCATTTGCATGGTTATGTCTCGTTAAATGAAGCACGGTGCAGTGGGTTGTTCTACCTATGCTAACTGTGACCAGCTCAATAACCCACCATCAGCAGCAATGATGATCTCAGTGTTGTTGTACATGTCTTCTACTTCATCTTCTGTCCAGCGAAACTCCACGTCTGCATCTACAAACATTCCACAGATGATAGAGAGACATTTCCATGGTCAGAGAGAGGGTGTCTTCTATTCAAAATAAGGTGTAAAGGTTGGTAGGCTGTACTTGTTTCAATGTGCCAGGTGCATTTGTATTGTGTACATGTAATGACAACATTGCACATTATCTGCTGCTGAACAAACAGTCAGTGTCAGACACACAACTCTTTAGTTGCATACATTCATTGTTGGTTGATAGTAAATATAAACACTTTCACAGCCATAGCTAAGGACAGTATGTCATATGTTGCAAGTCATCAGAGAATAATGATTGGATTAGTGTTCCTATGTTTACATCAATCATCATTTCTGAGTTAATGATGGTCATTCATTCTCTATAGTCTGCAGTTAGTGGTACAGGCTAAACAGTGATTGTGTATGGATTGTGTGTCCGTTACTTCATAATTAATATCTGTGGCCCTTCAAACTAAGTGTTGCTCTGCTCCTTCTGTTTCTGATACATATACAGTGGAGGAAATAAGTATTTGATCCCTTGCAGATTTTGTAAGTTTGCCCACTTACAAATAAATTACCGGTCTATATTTTTAATGGTAGGTGTATTCTAACAGTGAGAGTAAGAATATCAGAAAGAAAAACCAGAAAGTGACATTATATAAAAGATACAAATTGATTTGCATTTAACTGTGGGAAATAAGTATTTGATCCCCTTGTATGTGTTAGTACTTGGTGGAGAAACCCTTGTTGGACACACAGACGTCAGACGCTTCTTGAAGTAGGTCTCCAGGTCTGTGCACATCTCAGGAAGGATGTTGGTCCACTCCTCTCTGAAGATCCTCTTCAAATCCGTCAGGTTTTGAGGCTGATGCTTGGCCTCTCGAAGCTTCAGCTTCCTCCACAGATGTTCTATGGGATTAAGGTCCGGAGACTGGCTAGGCCCCTCCCTCACCTAAATGTGCTTCTTCTTTAGCCTCTCCTGTGTTGCCTTGGCCGTATGTTCAGGGTCATTGTCCTGCTGGAAGACCCCTCCATGACCCATGTTCAGTGTCCTGGCTGAGTGAAGGAGGCTATCGGACAAGATGTTACGCTACATGGCCCCGTCCATCCTCTCCTTGATGCAGGGAAGTGGTCCTGTCCCCTTAGCAGAGAAACACCCCAAAGCATAACGTTTCCACCTCCATGCCTGACGGATGGTGTTCTGGGGTTATAGTCAGCATCTCTCTTCTTCGTGTTGAGTTTCTGCCAAAGATCTACATTTTGGTCTCATCTGACCACATCACCTTCTCTGAATCATTCAGATGTTCATTGTCAAACTTCAGATGGCCTTTCATGTTCTTTTTTAGCAGAGGGGGGGGGGCTTCAGGCGCTGCAGGATTTGATCCATTATGGTGCAGTGTGTTACCACCAACAGTTTTCTTGGTGACTGTGCTCCCAGCTGCCTTGAGATCATTCACAAGTTCCTCCTGTGTAGTTTTTGGCTGATCCCTCATCTTTCTCCTGATCATCAAACCCCACGGGGCCAGATCTTGAGTGGAGCCCCAGCCCTCCGAGGGCGACTGATGCTCATTTTGTGTTTCTTCCATTTCTGAATAATGGCACCAACAGTTGTCTCCTTCTCCCTGAGCTGCTTTCTGATGGTCTTTTAGCCAATCCCAGCCTGGTGCAGGTCTACAGTCTGGTCCCTGAGGTCCTTAGACAGCTCTTTAGTCTTGTCCATGGTGGAGAGGTTGGAATCTGATTGGTTGATTCTGTGGACAGGTATCTTTTATACAGGTAACAAAGTTGATAAAAGGAGTACTTTCCTAAAGGAAATGGACTTATGTAACCGGTCCATGGGAGCCAGAATTCTTGTTGGTTGCAAGAGGATCCAATACTTATTTCCCACGTTAAAAAAATAAAAGTGAAGCTTTTCTTATCAAGCTCCACTTTTGTGGAATCAGCTTCCAGTTTGTGTTCGGGCGGCAGACACCCTATCCGTTTTTTTAAGTGTGCGCTTAAGACCTTCCTTTTTGATAAAGCTTATAGTTAGGCCTGATTAGATTCAGCCCCTAGTTTTGCTGATATAGGCTTAGACTGTCGGGGGACACCTTACTTCTTCCTTCTCTCTGTCTATACCTGTTCCGATTAACCCAGCTTCCCCACATTTCTTTCTTTTTGGTATCTATATACGCCGGGATCCGGAGTCATGGCTGATCCTGTTGCTGTGGTCCTGAGTCCTGGATCGCGAGCCCTGGATCCTGAGTCGTGGCTGTGCCTGTTGCTGTGGTCCTGGATCCTGAGTCCTGCATCCTAAGTCCTGGATCCTGAGTCCTGCATCCTAAGTCCTGGATCCTGCATCCTGGACTTCGAGTCGTGGCTGAACCGGTCTCTGCGGTCCTGCCTGACTCTCATCATACTACTTCCCTGATGGCTCCAACAGGATTGTTGACATCCTCATGGATTCATCTTCTTATTACAGACACATGCATTTCCAAACATTTGGACTACCTATGTTGCAAATGTATTATCTTTTTACACACGGCATCTATTGCACGTATGTCCGTCCTGGGATAGGGATCCCTCCTGTTTCTCTCCCTGAGGTTTCTCCCATTTTTCCCTTTAAACTGTGGGTTTTCTCTGGAAGTGTTTCCTTGTACGATGTGAGGGTCTAAGGACAGAGGGTCTAAGGACAGAGGGTGTTGTATTGTTGTACTGATATTCTGTACACACTGTGAAGTCCACTGAGACAAATGTAACATTTGTGATATTGGGGCTATATAAATAAACATTGATTGATTGATTAAATGCAAATCAGTTTGTATCTTTTATATAATGTCAATTTCCGGATTTTCTTTTTGATATGCTTACTCTCACTATTCAAATAAACCTACCATTAAAATTAAAGACTGTTCATTTCTTTGTAAGTGGGTGAACTTACAAAATCGGCAGGGGATCAAATACGTATTTCCTCCACCGTACATGTATGAAGCATAACTGGAGAAGGCTTGTAAAACTGTACTAAAGATACAAAAATTCGATACACAGGATATTTTTTGCAAATTCAAAGAATTTTGCAGTTAGTTAGTTTTCTGGAAATCCTACTACTGGGTTAATTTGGAGGGAGATATCTGTCCATAGATGGAGTGGGTCTCTAATACGGAAGAGAGTCAACGAGAGAAAGTTTCATTTAGGACTTCTATTCACTCAAGAAGAAATGTAATCTGTAGTTGACTACAGTGTGCCACGCAAATACTGTCCTTGCTCTGTGCCTTTGGTGATATGATTCATTATTTGAAGCATGCGATTGTCATGTAGTTAAAGGGGACCTATCATGCAAAATGCACTTTGTGATGTCTTTTATACATAAACATGTGTCCCCGGTGCGTCGGGGAACTCACGCAGCGTCAGAAAATAAAACCCTCTCTCTTTTCCTCAAATCTTTTAAAAACAGGGGTACAACGAATGGATACAGATTTTCTGCCGATCTGACGTCAAATCGGTAGCGGACCCACAGAAAGTTGCTATCAGAAACAATGCCTGATGTGTTTTGGACGTAATCTCGTCTTTGTTTACATTAGCAAGCCTCGCTAACACTCAGAGCTAACCTGTACTGTTACTGTTGCTGATGCTGTTCCTACTTTGTTTGGACCAGCGGGAGATTCGGGTACACAACCTGTAAGTATCCATTGTTGTTTGTGTATTACAAACAAGGTATCTACCACGACTGTTTAAATGGGTAAACGTTTTTCGGGCTGCTAAGCCAGGGTTGCCAACTTTGGGTACCTGGCTGGAGTGAGATTTTGATATCATGGCTTTAATTACACATATGCGCACGAAATTACTGCTATCGTGTCAGTAGCGGGACCTTAGCATATATATATAGGATATACAATATATACAAATACACAATATTGGACACAGACTATAAAGGGCACACAGTTTCCTTCACTAATGAAAGTCAAACACATGTTTGTTTCCACTGTTTTATTGTGTGCCTGTCGCGATAAGCAATTCATTGATTTATCGGCTCCGGAGTATTTTTGTTGGGTAATCTATGGTAGGGCTAACCGATACAGTGGTGGGGCTCAAGTCAGTATTTGCAATGTAATTACATACACTCTATATCGCCCCCTTGACAGTGAAACGCCACGCGTGAGGTTTAGATTATTTCCCTGTCTCAATCCAAATTGAACTGTATGAAATAAAAAGGCACATTTGTCTTGTAGTAAATAAAAAGGGCGACCTGGAGTCAATTCTGCTATTTTTCCACAGGTGAAAGAGTTGACGTGCTGAAAACCCAACCCCTGCACACATTCTGGTACTCTCTTGAGAAGAAAAAGAAATAAATCTATTACTACACATTTAAAAAAATGAATGCCATTTTAGTTTTGTGTTACTTTGTTCTGAAAGCTGAACCTGCTGCTCCTCACAGAGAGAAGAGGGAAGAGGCTGTGTGAATTACTTTACATTGTGGATAAGGGTGGATAGCCCCCATTGTTATGTGTGTCAAAATGAAAGACAGCCCACACACCTACCAATCATCAAACCGTGGGGTCTTATTTCATTACGTATCGATGTATATAGAGATGTACTACAGCAAAAGTATTCTCCGTCGGGACTTCCTGCAACAACACCTCGCTGTTATCTTGATTCTGATTGGCCAGAAGACATTATCAAAGATGTTCTATTTAGAAGACAATCACTACTAGGGTTGGGAACCGAAACTCGGTTCCAGATGAGAACCGATAAGAAAATGCCGGGTACCGGGTACCCATACAAAATACACAATTTCGGTTCTGCTTAACGGTTCCTAAACGCGGTAGACCCTGTATTCCAGCGGGTCCGTCTGCACCGCGGTAACCCGGTGGAATACAGGGCGGACCTGGAGAATCACAGAACGGCCGGTCGTCAGCGGGCCGTTGACGGCCGGCTCGGTACGCTGACGGCCGGCACCGCCCTTCATTTTTTTAAACGGCATCATATAAATTGCGCTGACAGGCGACAGAGGTCCACAGTTGCCCCGCAGCGATGCTCC